CAGAATGTATGAACAATACATGTGAGAGATGCCTGGTTTCCAGAGAAAGAAAGGGCTCCAGAGAGGGTCAGGGCAGCTGGGGCAGACACAGAAAGTCACGGAATTCTGCAGTCCAGACCTGGAGGAAGTGGAAACACAGATTATAGCCACGGTGGAGCCTGGAGGCTATTCATTCCACCCCACTCTCTCAGCAGGTGAGGAAACCAATGCCCAGAAACATTAAAGAGGAAAAATCTTCTTCTTCAGCAATTCAGGGACAGCAGATCAGACCCAAGTACATTCACCTGCCTAAGTCTCCAAGTGACAGAGTTCAAGGCATATAGGGGCTCAGCTGGACACGACTGAGCGACTAAGCACAGCATAGCACAGAGGTGGGAACATTTTATTCCTGTTTTGTCATAAAAACCAGATAGTTATTGATTCCTCCAAGGCAAACTCCAATCGGGAGGACTCTCTTTACCCTTTCTGAACTGAAAAGGTGGCTGTGTGTTCAGTCACGTCTGAGTCTTTGCAATCCCATGGACTACAGCCCGCCAGGTTCCTCTATCCATGGGGTTTTCCAGTCAAGCATATTGGAATAGGTTGCCATCTCCTCCTCCAGGAGATCTTCCTGCACCAGGGGTCAAACCTGCGTCTCTTGCATCTCCTGCATTGACAGGTGGATCCTTTACCACTGAGCCACCAGGGAAGCTGCTGCTTCTGCTTTGTGTGGGAATGGTTGGCAGTGTTTGCCCATAATAGGCTATTTGTGATAAATCGCCTATGAATTTTATCCTTAAGGCCTTGGGGATGGACTTAGAACCTTAACTTGAGTGTTTCATTTTTGGTGACTTTGCATTATTTTGGGAAACACTGAGGGAGTGGATTGGCCTTAAATACAAGCTCTCAAAACAGCTTGGAGGACTGATTTTGGGGACATCCAGGCCACAGAGCTGGGACCTGCAGGAATACGTATTCAACTGTGAGTATCTATCCTTAAAGGTTATAAAATGCACCAGAGGATTTCTTCCTGTTTTACAAGCCCACTGGGTCAATAGCTTCTGTGTTAACAGTTGAAATATATATAAATATGGAGCCCATATGTGTATATGAAAATCGTCTTAATTTGGGCTAATATCAAGGAAAATCAGCCTAAATTAGGAACAGAACTAATCGAAAGGAAAAGCTGAAATAGAAAGAATTTGAAAAACAAAACCAAACCCCACTACCCTGTTCTCTGTAGCTCCCCTTTTGTCTTGGTTTAGCTCGTTCACACTGTAGCGTGTGCAGAAGTAGAAATACAGTGCTGTACATAAGAAATTTCATGTCATGTTATAAACCGATGATATTACCTCAATAAAAAATAAAAAAACTTTCTAAGCATGGTATCTGTAAAGTGTAATAAAGCAAAGTACAACAAAACAAACAAAAAAGAGTACCATATATATGTCCATACATTTTTTAAAAAGGCAGATGCCTAAATCTTGCAAGTCATATACTCAACTCCCACTACACCTAATATTCAGCAGGGCTTCACCTTGATATTGGTATCAGCTGTTTGAAGTACAGGTGTTCTGAAATGCTGAAAGCCAGTGTTCTCAAAGAGTGATAAAATACCTCTTCACTCTTGTTAATTAAAGAAGAAACTACCACTGGTACTGAGGGATTTTTATCCCCATAGACAGGCCTATGAAATAGAATATCACAAACTCCAGATCCTTCTCATGGTGTTGGAGAGGGTATGCACATGACCCCATTCATCTGAGACACCCTTGCTTCTCACATGACATAGGAAATGTATCTTTTTTTTTTTAAAGGGAAAAACAATTTACAGATCCTCTTGGAACATAAATAATGGATGGAATAATAAAGGAAACCACACTTTTGAGCTAACCTTGGGTCTTAGTTTTTACCTGGATGTAGAAACACATTGAAGACAGTATGCTCACATAAGGAGTCAGATTGAAAAATGGAAAATCGGGAAAGCTTCAAATGCAAAAATAATGCCTCGATTGTTGCATCAGCAAAGGACAGTCACTGGATTGCTCCCACCCAGGACGATCCTCCCTCCTTCATTTCTGATTTCCCCTGTGACCCACGACATCCACCGACCAGGAGGAGAGCGGGCAGACCAGCGCTGCTCAGCCTCTCATCTCAGCTGAGTGTTCCTGGGAGGCATCGTCTCCTCAGCACTGTTTGCCTCATTGGCTTTGTCTGAAACTGGTGTGTTTTGTTTGAATATTGTTTTAAAAAGAGTTGGCTCTAGAAGAGATACTGGTCTTTTTAGAAAACTGCTTCTGGCACGAACCAGATATTCTGTGACTTTAAGCTCTTCGAGAAAGCTGTGTGTATCGGAAAGCCGGCAGTAAAAGCGATGGTTGCTAAGGGAACAATTGAATTGCTGACACAGACACGCATGGTGAGGCTGAAAACTCTTTTTTTCTTCTCCTGCCGCACGGAAAAGAAAGCACATGAGTCAGAGGGAATGGTGGACGGTCCTTTCTGCTTGTTAAGGAAGCTAAAAGGCTAAAATCGCCCATTAGCTTAAAGGGAAGAGAGTCTAGTGGTGGTGAAGGCTGAGAAAAGCTGAGAGCAGCTGGAAAGTTGGGGATAAGTCGGTGAAGGCAGAGGCTGAAACTATGACTCAGAGCGAGCTGAAAAGAAAAAAGCCACCAACAAATGAGACTCACGTTAGGCTGGAGCTGATGACCGTGTGCAACGGAAGGAGCTTAATCATATGCAGATAGATTTCTTTGAACACCAGCGCCTAAATACTTTGAAATGTTTGAAATGTTTTTTGATTGATTCATTCACTCCTGTAACCTTCAATTGCCATTTCTGAGAGCCTGTTGTTTGTTTAAACACCTTTTTTGAGGTATAAATTATATACCTTAAAACTCCACCATTGTAACTTTGCAGCTTAATGATTTTTTAGTAACTTTACAGAGTTCTGTAGTCATGCCTCCCATCCAGTTTTAGAATATTTCTATCTTGACATAAAGTTCCCTTTTATCTCTTCAAAGTCAATCCTACTCCCAGCACCAGGCAACTACTGATCTGGTTTATATCTCTATAGATTTGTCGTTTCTAAAAATTTTATCTAAGTGGAATTATGTGATCTGTGGTCTTTTGTGTCTGGCTTATTTCATGTGATGTTTTTGAGACTCATTCATGTTGTGCCATATATAAGCAGCTCATTCTCTTTTTAAAATACTGAACAATGTTCCACTGTATAACTGTATCACATTTTGTTTATCTGTTCATCAGTAGGTGGACATTTGTGTTGTTTCTAATTTAGGGCAATTATGAATAAACCTATCATGATCATTCATGTACAAGTCTTTGTGTGGACATATGTTTTCATTTCTCTTGGGCACATACCTAAGAGAAGAATTATTAGATCATATGGCAAAAGTATGTTTCACCTCTTAAGAAACTGCCAAACTCTTTCCCAAGTGGTGTTATCATTTTATGCTCTGATCAGCAGTACGCCAGGCTTCCAGTTTCTCCATATCCTCTGTCTCCATTTGGTACTGTCTTTTTGATTACAGCCATTCTAATGGGTGTGCTACAGTATCTCATCGGGATTTTCAATTGCATTTCCCCACTGATTAATGGGCCTTCCTGGGTGACTCAGAGGTAAGGCATTTGCCCTGCAACACAGGAGACCTGAGTTCGATCCCTGGGTTGGAAAGGTCCCCTGGAGAAGGAAATGGAAACCGACTCCAGCATTCTTGCCTGGGAAATCCCATGGACAGAGAAGCTTGGCAGGCTACAGTCCATGAGTAGCTACAGAGTCAGATATGACTTAGCAACTAAACCACCACCACCAATGACTAATGACCCAGAGTGTCTTTTCTTGTTCTAAATGTTTGCCCATTAGGAAAAAACATTGAAATGATAGAATTTTGAGTGGAAAATATGAAAACAAAACCAAAAAAACCTGATGAATTAAGGCACATGTTGGAATATGCTCCATCCCAGTTTATAGAACAGTACTTCTCACTGCAAACTACTTGCATCTGGAGCACACAGAGTGTTTGTTAAAAATGCACATGTCCCCTAGCCTGCCGAATTGATACTTGGGTAGGGGTTCCAGAGCCCACACTTTTTAAATTCCCCATTCCCAACACTGGGTGATTCTTATGCACACTGGAGTTTGAGAGCCCCCACCCTGAACCGAAGGCACCTTTGATCACCTGGTGACCATCACGGACTGCAGGTCCAGGAGTCAGCACTGCCTGAGGTCCGCAAGGAACAAGGAGCCCTGGACGAGGCCTTGGCCCCAAGCGTCATGAACTCTGCGTAAACCTGCAGGAAAGCCAACTTTCTGAACCTGGATTTCTTCTGCTGGAAATGGAAAAATTAGAATTCATTACACACAACATAATCCTTGGGTGCTATTACTAAGCAAGGAACTGCAAGAACCTGGTTCCCACCTGGTTCTGCCTTTATAAGGCAGATTGAAAGACCACAAGAACGCATGTGTGTAAGTGCATAGAGTTCAAATATGACAGCAGTCACCACCAAGTTCGTGAAAACCTTAGTCGTTTTTGACAAGGATAACTCTATTTTAATGTCAGTTCCCCAAAGAAGGCTTTAACTTAGTCATCAGGTCAACTGAAGACTTGTCAGTGGTTGGCTTGCATCCTTCCTGTCAGGATTGTGAGTCTGGTGGTCTAGGATGGATGCACGTGTCTTGATCAATGATACTCACCTATTAAGGCTGGTTGACCAAAAGGGCTTAAATACTGCTCATGAACTCAGGGTTCACTACATCACTAGGTCATGCTCTAATGCATAAGTTTATAAACACCATTGCTTTTACCCCCAAAATAAGAACAAAAATCCAAAAGGCCATGGCCAGGCTTTGGGAGGATATTTCCCTTGAGAAGGAAGGTATAAGACTCAAAGGGACAGATTCTTTGTACACTGTGAGGATGTCATAAAGCAGAAAATGTTAATAAAACCAGTTGTAAAGAGGTCAACATGGTGGTGGGGCTGATGGTCTGGAATCTTACCAAGAAGCTGCTTTTTCTTTCCATAAAGGAAAGGCGAGAAAGGGACTCTTCCCACTTGAACTTCAAACTAGTTTTAAACACATTAGGGAAAATTATCTACACATACACCAAACCTCCCACTCAGACACTCTCCCACTGGCTGCTGATTCTCTCTGAATGGTCCGTGGGAGGCACCCTGGGCAGTCAATACTCTCCGTGGTTTGGGGGACATTCAGAATATGCAAGTGTGATGGCAGGATGGGTCTTTGTGGGATCCTTTCCCTCCAAACAAGGCTTAGAAGCCTGGTGAAGTGGAATTGCTTTGTAAGAAACCAGAAATACAAACATTTATGGAATTACTAGGCACAAATTACTTGGCACTGCAAATTGGAACAATTAGCTAACCTTTGTGAGGAAGGAATGTTGAACGTGAAACAACTTGAGAATGGAATAAAAGTGGACCTATTATTCTTTGACTCAATTAAAGGCACGTAATATATTCAATACACATTTGCCAAACCATATATTCATCCGTGCTGTTTGAGGCTGAAGGTGGGGCTACTTCTAAGCGAGACTCATTCACATCAGCCCTGCCACTCACCCATCCTGGAATGGCAGGAAATAATGGCTCCTGTAAACAGATGAGAACTAGCCCAGTTACACAATACATTGAACAAAAATGATGGCAATAACACTGTTACTTTTCATAATGGGCACAGATTTTTATAGGAATTAATGATAGAGAAAGGGACCATCTGAAATAATGCCATTTAGTAATGTGACTCTTTTCCCTTCCAGATAAGTCCAAATTATGGACATACCCTTTCCTGTATTCGCCCAGATGGTAAACTAGACGTGTCGGTTGGAAGTGAGCTTTAAAATTGGCACATTAGGATTTCTGTTCTACTAAAATAAAAATATCAAGCGGCCTGTCAATAATTTTATATTTCCAAAGGACCAGGAAATCCTTTTCTAGTTTGTCTATCCATATTATTTTAAAAATATAACGTTTGGGTTTCCCTGGTGGTTTAGTGGCTAAAACTCCGGGTTCCCAATGCAGGGGGGGCAGGGTTTGGTCCCCAGTCAAGGGACTAGATCCCACATGCCGCAGCTAAGATCTGGCACAGCCAAATATGTAAATAAAAGTAAATACTTCAAAACATGTATCCTGGATAGTTATTACTGATGACCACCCGTTGGGGAAATGGGGGCTTCCCAGGTGGTGATAGTGGTAAAGACCCCGCCTGCCGATGCAGGAGACATAAGAGATGTGGGTTTGATCCCAGGGTCGGGAAGATCCCCTGGGAGAAGGAAATGGCAACCCACTCCAGTATTCCTGCTGGAGAATCCCATGGACAGAGCAGTCTGGTGGGCTACAGTCCATGGGGTCAGAAAGAGTCGGACACGACTGAAGCCACACAGCATACGCTCCTACTCTGGGGAACTAGTAAGCAGTGACTCAAGACTGCCGTCAGAGCCTGAAGGGCACACACCTCCCCAGCAGGTTGGGCAGTCTCCTCTTCTGACTCCTTGTCCAGGCTTGGCCTGAAATCACTCCTTCTCAACGATGTGCCAAAAACGACTCGGAGAGCTGCGGTGGGCTGCACGGCCGCGCTGGCCCCAGAGCAGTACTTCAGCGGGAACTTCTTTTTGGTACTGCTTTCTTCCGTCACCCGGTACTCTGTCGCTATCTCTGCCTCCCCCCCACCCCTTTGGAGAATCATCTTTGCTGTAATGCACATACTTGCTTTTAATCCACAAATAAACTTTTCTGATTCTTAGAGTACGCTAGTTGGCTGCGTCTTGGCATTTATGTTTATAAAGTTGTTTCTGTTTCAGGTTGGAATATCTTCCATGTTAGGACTCTTTTTTGGGGGTAGGGGCAACTTTTAAATTTTGGAATAATTTCAAAATTTCTGAAAAGCTGTAAGAACAATACAAAGAATTCCTATCTACCCTTTACCCAAATTCTCAATGATTAACATTTTCCCACATTTGCTTAATCACTTTCTCTCTGTGTAGATACATATTTATTAGTTTTTTTTTTTTGTCTGAACCATTTGAGCGCAAGTTGTAGCATGATGCCCCTTCCCGCCTACATCATTCCGTGTGCATCTTACTATGAAAAGTATCGCATTTGATGCTGAAAAAGGAAAAAGCAGATAAGCAAAAAGAAGGAAATTAAAATCCATCTGGATTCTTGCTACCCAGAAATAAACATTTCACCATATATTCTTCCAGTTCTTTTCTATGCATATATTCAATTTTTTTTTACCAAATGTGATGTTAAATATACCATGTTAAGCCCGACTGTCGGAGGCTATATGGCGCAGAGGGCGAGTTCTGGTTCTGGAGTCAGCCTGGGTTCAAATCCTGTGTGTACCACTCACTTCATCTGTATTCATTTCCTGTGGCTGCCGTAACAATTCACCACAAACGGGGCGGCTTAAAACAACAGACATGTATTCTCCCATAGTTCAGGAGGCGAGAAGTCTGAAATCGAAGTGTCAGCAGGGCTGGTTGTTCCTGGAGCTCTCAGAGAGAGTCTGCCTCATGTGTCTCTCCAAGCTCCGGGCGGCTGCCAGCAGCTCTTGGCGCTCCTCGACTTGTAGACACATCGCTTCAGTCTCTGCCTCCATCCTCACGTAGACGTCTGTCTGTGTCTCTGTGGGGCTCAAATCACTCTCTTTCTTCTCAAGCTAAGGCTACCAGTCATAGGTGGGCCTACGTAGATTTTGTTTTTAGCAATTACCTCTGCACAGACCCTATTTCTAAATAAGGTCATGTTCTTAGGTTCGAGGTGGCCATGAATTTGGTGGGGTGGTAGGTGGTTATTACTTGTCTCACTATATTAGTATTGTGCTCATGGATAAGGAATTTTACCTCTCTGAGCATAAGTTCTTGGGGTTTTTTTAAGGACTAAGTGTGATAACACCCATAAAGCCAATACATAACATACAGTAACCATTCAACAAATGCTAGTTACTGATGATGACAAAAAAATATGATTATACCATAATGTGTTTGATCAATAACTTATTAGCCATTTAGATTTTTTTCCATTTTATGTTATCACAGGTGAACTCCTAATAAATATCCCTGTGACTTTAGTTTTGAAAATGTTATACATATTCGTGATTATTTCCTTCGCATAAATGAGGCGTGGTTCCCCAAATTCCAAAGCTTTTGAAGTCCCAGTTCCATTCTTGGACTTCACGGGGTTACAATTGATTTCCATCGTCTGTTCCGGGAAATCACAGTCTGAATTCTTTGGCACAGCAGTCTGGAGAGCTGTCTCAGTTTTCCCCAAAGTACCATTCCTGGAAATAGACACTGAAGATCTGACAGTGTGTTTTCTCATGCCTGTTTTCTCACGATTCTTCTCGGGATGGGAACGCAGTGGGGCCCAGGAAGAGATGCTCCGTGGGGTTGTTGTCCCGGGGGGCCACCGGTGGGAGGGGAAGGAGCAGGGCTGATCTGGAGCTCAGCCCTGGGATTCTGCAAAGCAGTTTTGAACACTCAGGTAGACGGTGAACCACAACAGCCGTGACAGGAAAACAGCCCACCACAAATAAAAGCCGAGAGCTCCAGCTGACACTTGGGTGCTCACGTCTTAATGAGAAATTGCTCAGCAGTTCAAACATCCTGGCTCAAAGCCCTCACCGCACGTTGAGGAACCAAGGGGCCATCTTTCCGGGGCCACCCTCGGGCCCCAGGTGACCCCAGCCCCTGGCGCAGAGGTGAGGCCGGAGGGTCAGGAGCAGGAAAAAGCCATGTGCACGGCCCCTGCTGCAGCCAGAGCACTTTGGATTCTGATTTGGATTACGCTCTTTACGACGGCAGGACACAGAGGGGGCTCACACAGATGCACCCAAGAACCTGGTGAGAAGTAAGATGACGGAAGGCCGTCCACTAAGGCCCTGGCTTTTGACAGTTTCCCCCTGGAGCGAACACACAAACATTTAGTCAGCTTCTTTTGACCACAATTAGAAAATATTACCAGGGCAGGTGACCACAAATGGTATTTAAAAACAGCTTGACGGTTTTGGGGGAGGAGCTAAGTCAGAGAAATGCTCCCCCATCACACATACAAGCCCAGCCTCACCCTCCCTCCCCTGCGAAACTATGTTTCTTTTGATTGACATTTTTAAAAAAAAATAATGTTTGAAATCCTTCTCAAAAGTCATGAATTTGACGGTGAGTGGGGTCCATCTAAAAAAAAAAATCTATATTTAGCTTCGCAAGGGGCTTGTGAAAACTTGTTTTTATTTTGATTGTTGTGGGTTTGCACCCCTGGAGTTTCGTTTTGACTTTTCGGGTTAAATGAGTTTCAAAATGAAACTCATCCAATTGTCACATTTTCCCCCTTGTTTTAATGTAAAAACTGGAGGCTCTCTTATTCCAGAGGTTCTGACTATTGGTATTTCTCCGGAGTTCCTCTCCTCTCCCTGTAGCAAGCTGTCAACCCCAGCCCTCCACATGTTTAAAGCCTCTTTTAGAGCTGAGACTGGGGGAATGCCCTTGACTGAGGTGTCAAAAGAGCTGAGTTCATATTCTTGCTCGTGGACGGTGAAGCAACTTGGTCAGATCTGTGCCTGGTTCCTCCTTGGAGAAATGAGAGGCAAAGATCTCCTCTCTGTTTCTTTGGGTGCTATGATAAAAAATCCAAGTTGAACCTGACTGTCAGTTAAGGAACAATATTCATGCTAAAATAAAAGTTGTTATCTAGGGAAGGCTTTATCATCAAAATGTTTCCTTCTTTAAAAAAAAAAAAAAATATATATATATATACACAAGCATTTGGAGATTCAGAATCTGATGTTGGAAGCTGCAAAGTGAATTTCTGCTATCCCAGAAAGGTACAGCCTCAAAAAGGCTCTCTGACTGGCAAAGAGAAGAATGAATTATTAAGCCCAACTGTGAAGAGAACATCATTCTGTACCATCTCTATTATGATGATGTATTGGGGCTACTTTTTTACTGTCTGTTATACTTCATGTTGTTCTTGTAGTCGTTCCGTTGGGTCCGATTCTTTTGCGACCCCATGGACTGTAGCCCACCAGGCTCCTCTGTCCATGGGATAGCCATTTTCTTCTCCAAGGGATCTTCCTGGCCCAGGGATGGAACCCACATCTCCTGCATTGGCAGGCAGATTCTTTACCACTGAACCACCAGGGGAGCCTGTTACACTTTGTACAAAGTAGCTAATAAGTTACAACTACATTCAGCTTATATTCATGTCCTATTGCTGGGTAACACATTAGCATAAACTGAGTGGCTTTCAACACAATACAAACTCCTTACGTTCCAGATCTGAAGCCCAGACGCCTGAAAGCAGTTTTCCAGAGCTAAAATCAAGGTGTTGTTACCAAGTCCAAGCTCACCCTGCTCACCGATTCATTGATGGGTCAATGAATCTGAGAGGTGAGGGGTGAGGCAAAGAAGAGACTTTAACTGGGGAACCTGCTGACCAAGAAGATGGTAGGTTAGCACCTCAAAATAACCATCTTATGGGGGTCTGGATGCTGGGTTCTTTTATAGATCAGAGATGGGGGAAGGTGAGGAAGCAAAGTAAAAAGATCACTAATCTAGAAAACATCTCCTAAAATGCCAAGCCTCAGGCAGGGATGTGTCAATGTCTCCCTTCCTGCTACCTACGGTGGACAGGGTCCTGAACAAAGGCATGTCTAACGGTTAGACAGAGGCAGGATTCTCTGAGGCGGGACATTCTGTGTGATTATAATAACAAAAACAACGAAAAGCAAGTCAAGAAACAGTTCCAACATGGAGTCAGAATTGGTGTCTTCTCTGCAATGGTGTCTGCAGGGCTCTGGTCTTTCTTGAGGATCCAGGGGAGACTCTGCTTCCTGCCTTTTCCAGCTTCTCAAGGCTGCCTGTATTCCTTGGCTTGTGGGCCTGCATCACCGTGACCTCTCATAGGAACCTCGGTGAGTCCACTGGGCCCACCTGGATAATCGAAGATGCTCTCTCCATCTCAGGATCCTTGACTTCGTCATGTCTGAAAATCCCTTTTTTCCATGTTATGTCCATAACAACATACTCAAGGTTCCAGGGATTAGCATGCTGGCACTTTGGTGAGCCATTACTTAACCTGCCACAAGATACAAAAGCAGGGACCCAACTTCCCGGCCCACTGTTGATCCAGTACTTAGAACACACGCACATCATAGCAGATAACTGGTTACTATGTATAAAGTGAATGCAAGAAATTGTGCCTGCTTCTGGCGGTTCCACTCATCTGACACTTACTGAGCACCTACTCTGAGCCAGAACTAAGGGGCGCAGCACTGTCCGGAGCACAGAGGCAGCTGAGGAGAAGACTCAAAGGCGCACAAGTGAGCCCTGGGTGTCCAGAGCCCGGGGAAGCAGGGCTCCCATTTGTACCCTTGCACTGTCTTCCTGGAATTACTGGCTGCTGCTATCTTATCTAAGAATTCTTTGAACACATCCTCTTGGCAAGTGTGATTAATTACATTCAGATTTCTTTCTTTCTAATTTTACCCCCCGGGTACTCTTCTGATGTGTTAAGGAGTTTCTACTGAGAATTTTAAAAGAATCAATGATTAAGGCTCTGCAGAACCTCCACCCCGCTCCCCACAGAGTGCCCCACTCAGAGAAAGCACAGGTGGTCTCAAGAAGGTTGCAGCACAGTGCAGATGCAGAGACGAGGTTAAGTGGGTTTCCCAAGC